AATCTCGGAGGCTTTCTATTGTTAGGTGTCATGTAGGATTGTATTGCTTTTTTTTCCTACCTTGAAAGTGGGAGGTGGCGTCTTGGCTGGTAAATGAGAATTGCAGCCCCCAACGCGCGGTCCATAACCTTAATTTCAACTACAGAGCTGACGTAATATAGTCTTCTTGGCCTTGTAAGTTGAAAATGATGGCACGAGGGGAATGGTATGAACACGACGTAAGCCACATGTGTACACACGGAATTATCAATTTTAAGATTTACGATGAAGTCTTGAAGGATTTTCACCGATTAAGTGCAATATGCCCCTCCATGCCTGGTTGGGCTCGAGTGTCAACAGCGTTGATTTGATTTGTGTGTTAATTGCTAGACTTCCCAGACAGGGTCGCTTACTATAGTACAACTACAATACAGATTGAGTGAGTAAGTGTATGTTTTCAACTGAGTTATGATAACTTCCACAACATCAGGGTGGGCTCTTCAAAGTTGCAATCCTTTTCTACGGGTGAGCGACTGCTGCACCAATTCTCTTTGGTTCGGTAGAGGCCTTGGTTTCTCATTTTCTTTGTTGAAATGTACCCCAGCTAGAAATGAAGACTTGCAGTCACTCAAAGTCTATGGATACATAAACACCTCGCCAAAATTGGCACATGATCCACTTGGCAGGTTTGGTTCTACATTTTGAAGATATGGGACTCTACTGGTAGACTTGTGCAGCTACCAGCGGAATCAAATGCCATGGTAACAGCCGTTTCAACAGCCTTTGTGGTTGTTCAGGCTGACACTGCTTAAGAACACGTCATTCAAGCCAGGATTGATCACACTATAGAGAAAAATGGCAAAATCCTCTATTCACCTTCCTTGGAGTCCAACAGGTTTTGAAACCAGTCAAAAATAACTTGATTGTGCTGTTTGAAAGCCCCAATCCCACAGTGCTCGCCAATCCCATCTTCCTCCGTAAAATGATGCAAATACGCCCACTCCCCCAACGCCTCCGCAAGAACTGCCGCCTGACCCTTGAAGAACAAATCATTCTGTGCATCGCCCACGAAAACAGGCGTCCGGATCTGATCCACCACAGGCTCCATGCGATAATCCAGCGACAACGTCACAAAGTCGTACGCGGACGCGGTGTTGAACGCCCACATCCCATGCCCGAGACCCCAGCGCAGCGTCGCGGGTACCCCGGGCTGTAGAAACCGCTTCGCGTACTCGTCAAAGGCCGCTTTGTCGCCCGAGTCGTAGATCGCCATGGCTTCTGCGCCGAGGGTAGCGTTCACGACGACCGGCCAGTCCCAGACGCCGTCGACGGCGAAGATTGCGGCGAGGCGGTGTTCAAAGGCCGCGGCGCGGGGGGCGAGGTAGCCACCGAAGGAAAACCCGAGGAGGCCGATCGAGGACGGGTCGACTACCTCGGGCTTCTCGAGGAGCCAGTCTACAATGGGAGTAATTACTCGCTCCCAATCATAGATGAAACCGATTTCCTGGTACCGCCGAACGGAAGGCATGCCTGGCCCTTCGTAGGTGAGGACGTTGTATCCCCTCTCGAGAGCGGCGGCGCCCATGGCGTGGTACATCTCCTCCTGGGACCCATCATACCCGTTCCCCATAATAATCGTCGGGCGCTGCGTCTCCTCCTCGTCAGGCGTGAACCATATACCCGGGATATCAAAGTCCGCCGTCTCAATCGTCACACGCTGATTCGGCACCGTCAACAACGCGAGACCTTCATCGAATGCGGCAGTCTGGTTGCCCCACAGCTCGTGTATGCGGGGATCCGACGCGTTCTCGTGGAGGTAAAAGTCGGCGCTACGAAAGTACGTCGCCGCGGCGAAGAAGGCGCTGCGGGCGGAGACGGGAAATTTTGTTTTCGCGATGCTCCTTGCGCGGTCGAGGACGCTGTAGGCGAGGGCGGAGAAGGAGGTGGCGTAGCTTGCGAAGTCGCCAGGGATAATTTTGTTGGCGGTGGTGAGGACTTCGCCGAGGTCGGCACCGTCGTAGACGGATTGGCTGAGGGCGCGAAGGATTTCAAAGTGGAATGTGTGGTCGGCGCTGAGCTGGTACATGGAGTAGTTCGAGGTTGCCATGACGGGTAGTTTCTCGCGGAGGACCTGGCTCGAAAGTGTTCATGAAGCGAATCAGCTTCACTGGGCGTGATGCATGGTGTCCTGATTCTGTGAGGCTCAGCTTGCAATTTATAAAAGACCAATTCCCATGATCAACATAGTAACCCCGCAGTTGTCAGCAAATGTGAATAGTAGGTGCAGCTGGACGGGGGCTGGATCCTTTCAAAAGTGCGATTGCCCATCAACTTGGCTGCTTGCGAGGGAGACGGGAATGTAACATCAACGGAGGCATGTAAGTCGATGATATCGGACAGCAGCCCCCCGGTTGTGGCGTATCGGATCAAGACTGGAGGAAGCAACGTCAATCTCGACAAACTGGATCAGTGGGATTGGCTACTCGAATGCAGGCGAGTGGCGGGTGCTCCCGGAGGATCAAGCTTCGGAAGGGGGACGCTTGGCGTAAGCACTACGTCGTCGGTCAGCAATATCACACGTGCTAGCCTGATCAGCTCCGCTCAAGGCACTCTCCACTCGCTTCTGATCAATCAGCATAGCAATCCAAACCCATCGAAGTACTTAGCAGTAAAACATCGCTGAATCTCTGTTGAGGCTTGTCGAGGGTGGTATCAATTGCGATTCTGGGCTCCTACGGATGATGCTATTCCTACCGGCATGCAGGCATTTCAATATATCTATAGAAAATATGCGTTCAGTGGGCTTTACACCAAGTTTTCACCTCCTCCACTGAGTGTTCCTGACTCCAAGTTTCAAGATGTAAAATTCCACCATTATGCTTAGGGAGTTTGGGGCATCTCACGACTCAGAAGTCAAGCCATTGGTAGCAAAAATACCAATATATTACATGCAAGAGGATCAGAAGGAAAAGAGAGGTAGAACCATTATCATTCAAAGATTTGCCCTGCGGGACCTTGTTTCGGTAGCCCCGGACTATAACCACATCAAAGCAAACATTACTATTTCGCCGGCTGAGGAAAGCGGAGGGACTTCGACAACGGTCAAAACCGCTTGTTGCGTTTCGGGAATACTCAGGATAACAAGGGTTGGGGTTAGGGTTCCAGTACTCGACCATGCAGAGTCAGCCAAGAAATCGTAAGATTCTTTCGCTAATCACTCTATACAATCACCAACTTAGTACGCTTATTAAATTAAAAAAAAGAACTAATAAAGTCTTAGCCTGCACTTGAGGAAGCCAGATCGAACTTTTTGTGCTATTGAAATCAGTCAGAACTAAAAGCTGTCATCAAAATGACGCTGAATGCTTGGTGGCAACAACATACGTTGTTTGAGGCAACACCGTCCGGACAATGATGCTCGGACAGGATGACTAATTCGACCAATCAGCGAAGACACAAAGTCTCTTGATGGGGAAATACTCAGCGTCGAAACTAGTATGACCTTCCGGATCAACATGTAATAGTCTGTTCGCGAACAAGCACATGTGGCTCGCTACTCACGGACCGCCAAAATGACACATGCAGGAGCGGAACCTAAATAGTCTCAAAATCAATCCTGCGTAATTTCGGATATAGTGTTGTGAATCTCGGGATACTATCCGCTCTAAAGTAAGCTAAGAAATAATCAAGACACGAATGAAGTCTGAGGCACAAGTAGTAGAAAGTGGCTTTACTACTCTATGAGGAGCAAAATCTCGGATGGGTTACCTTCGCCCAAGCTTCCATACGTTTTGTAGTCTCGAACTGTGTGTATCTGGCCTGGATGTGACGAATCCAGAAGCACATTAAATCTGCCATCGCAGCGCTGGGTCTAAGACAACTCGGACAGTCAACTTCTAAATTCACTCGAATAATTCTTGGAAAATCGCGCGCAGGCTTGGAGAAGTGACTCAACGGATATGACTTTACTGATCGACAAGACGGGAGATCTGGGTACGATGATGCGTATCGCATCGAGTTATAATCTCGAAGTCAATGTCAATGATCTTATGTGACATACTAATTGGAGCTTTTCCTAGCAGCGGTATGCAGTAACACTACTTGGTATGCAAACAGCGGAGAACTCTCTGGAGCGATATGAGCGGTCTTACTCTAGCTCTAGCTTTCTGCATATTCGCACTAGACTCAACATGAACCTAGATAGCAGACGCTGTGCTCCGGAACTGTGTCGCATCAAAACTACTCGAAGATGATCAGGGGGATAGTCGCAACACCAAGCTCTGCGCTAGTGCATTATGGCACGCCTTCCTTAGTACCTAGAATCTAAAGGTAGTACACACCAACCGCGCGCACTTCGGTCCTGCTTGGGTTCTACTGGAATTACCTACTCTAGTACCATGACAGCCTCATTCCTTAAGGTGTGGAAATGTGGAATCCGCAAACAAGCTCGAAGTGGGAGCCGGATTCATATCCGAGCGCCTGGGGTTCGTGCCAAGACTTTGACCAGTGCCACACACCTTGCAGGCTTGTTTACGCATAGGAAGTTTCGAAGTAGGACTTTTTGCCGCTGTGCCCTCTTACAGCCGAAGCTTCATGTCGGTAGACCCGAGAATACTGACGGCGTGCTTGGGAAACCCATGTAGCTGACTAGCGCCCTCAACAAAAACCCCCGTTCACCACCATATGACGGCTGTCGGCCTCTACCTGAGACAATGATCTTCCGGGTCCCGCTCTCATCGGATACATCCAGGCGGTTCAGAGGGCGGGAACGAATTCTATTCAGTGGATACCATCTGGGGTCATTGTTTACTGGTTTAATTATACCTCATGGTTCGCATATGGGTCCATCATGAATATTAAAAGTGGCGAACAGTGCCCTGGGCGATTATCAACATTCTCAAATGACGGGAAGAAGACATAGGGTAGGGCAAGCTTAAACTGCTCAGTGACTACCCTGTGACGATACGAAACTTCAGGCAGAAAACATTTCGCTCAAATTCATTAATCCTGCATCCTCTGATCTACGGGCTACAAGGAACCTTTTTCTGTCCAAGTACCAGGCCATTATCTGCGCACCCCTTCGAAAGAGCCTGGAGTCTGTCAAAGTCGGAGGAGCGAATGCAGCAGAACTAAGAGCCATTCATCAGCTACAAACACCATCTTAGTTCTCGCCACTAGATTGAACACTTACGCCAGGGGAAGGGAGGACTGCGCCTTTTACTGCATTGCAGAAATTGTTGCTCGGGGCTGGTTTTCCCTCCACTGTCATGCAGTAGTACGTCCCGTATTGTCCAGTTCCCTGCCTGTGTGTTGCGCAAAACGCGTTAGCATGCGCATGCAGGATCTAACGGATCTAGCGGATCTAGAGCCACGGAGATCTAGCCGGGTGGGGGAACGCTTACCCGAAGACAGTGGCTGTGAGAAACAACACGGTAGACATAAGGGTGGTTGAAGAGCGCATTTTGTATCTAATGCAAGTCAATAATGAATAGTCCGTAAGGATGCAATGTGATTTTTCTGGCAAGCTGAAATGCCGAAGACAAGTTGGGTTTCGGAAAGAACGGTTGATTGAAAATTGGAAGGTCGGAAATTGTTGACTACTTCTTAATAACACCAAAGAGTCTCTCATGCCACGTTTATATGCCAATCCACAGATGGGTGAATCGTGTTCACCTTCACCCTGGAAACATTTTTTGACGACTATCGCGCGATTGTTTGAGTCCAGGTTCGATCTGCCCATCCATGCCACCCCGTAGAGCCCCTGAAGATATGGCCGGCGGGGAGGAGAGCCGCGAACATCTCGGCCGACTCTGAACGGGGCTATCTAGGAGGTAGACGCAAGGTCTGAAAGGTGATCCCAAAACAGAAACCGCGAGTCCAAAAATCGGAAGAACCTTTGCTCGCATAAGACCCTGAGTGCTCGGATGACGAAGACAGAAACCCGGTTCCAAGTGATCGGACCCGTGGCGGTGTCACGTGGCTACGCCATCTCCTTCCATTGTTCCATTGTCGACGGATTCAGAGAGTCAATTTCTTGATTAAACCCAATCCTCCCGGTCCAAGCGAGAACGAGCCGTGACGGAACAAGTTTGCCGTGGGCAACGTCGGGGATGGAAAGAGGCAGAACACGAGTCAGGTCTGGCTGGTATGCCACCATCCTACCGTTGCATGGCGCGTTTGACCAAAACTCTATTCGTCGAGAGTTGACGGTATTTGTTCATCACCGCTTGGACATTCCGCGCACACGCACGGCACTAGGATGCCACGTGCGGCAGCTATCTATGAGAGCGTGCGCAGGAATCCCTTAGATTTCCATACATGAGGAACAAGATCCGATTGATCTCGCTCCCTAAAGCGCAATGCTAAAGTTTCCCAATCAATGCCCATTTTTCCCTGTTGCCCCGTGCCGTTTCACAGATTTCCCCATCACCCCCTCCCGCCTCACCGGACTGGAGAGAGCGCGCCATTTTATCCTCTACAAGGACAAACGAGCAAGTGTCAACGGAAGCATCGACCAATTTTCTCGTCGTCGTCAAGGGACCTCGAAACATTGATTCATCGCGGGCCTCCGCTTCGCCCTGTTTTCACTCACGCACCTCCGCTTCCGCTCGGCACATCTAGGATCGGCTTCTCCGGGCTGGAAACTAACAATAATTGTCTTAATGGGGCCTCAATAGCAATTCGCGACAGCACGCAGGAGCTGGAGCTATGGAGTTGGAACGCGTCGAGGCGGTGATGCGTCGCTTAAGCATCAATCATGAGGCGGAGCCTCTCGCCGGAAAGGTCGTCAGCATCATCGTCGCCATGATATCGGCCTGTCTCCTTGCTAGTCTTTTTGGTCAGTGCTTTCATGACAAACTCGACGCCGAACGTAATGTGCTAACATCTCGACAGTGATGAGATGGACATCAGTGAAGGACTGGAAGGCATTACCGTGGACGATGTGGCGTAAGGAGCCCTCGCAATCATACGCCTTTGTCCATGAGGTTTACTAACTTTCAAAGTCGTTGTACTCATCTACTTCTTCTCCTTTCTGTTTGTATTCGGCACTTCAATCCTACAATTTGGATTCGGAGCCGATCTGAACTTCGACACTTGTTCCGCCGCGACACTTTTCTGTTTGGGGGCATATGTGTCTACCAAGGTAAGCTAGACTCATCGCAGCTCTCAGTGATATATTTGACTAACCAGGAATAAGTTGGTAAGAACGGCTCAGTCGCGTGCACTAGAGCGGTATCTAACAAGGTGAACAGTTCATCTACCTCTTCATGGTTGATAGGGCAGTAAGTGAATCTGTGCGACATATTTGACTCCTGTGACTCACATCAATGTGTAGCACATCATTAGACAAACGAGAAAAAGGCGCTTGAAGTCGAAACTCTATCTTTTCAACTCATTCGGCATGTTGGGTACGCTTCAAAGCTTCTATCACGCATATTCTTTTTGAACTAATTTCCCTGCTAGGCGTGTTCGTCCTGGTTGTTATCATGAACTTTATATTGTATGCATGGATAACTCGAGAAAAACTGCTCCGGCTAATAGTCTCCCCAGCCGAATTACTCATTTCGAGAATGGCATCTGCATTATTGGGATGGAACAGCCAGTATTGCTGCCACTTATCTCTTTCGACGCAGCTGTGAACGTGAGTATACGTTCAGCTCGTGATACCCACCTTGATCTAACGTAAACGAGGTTTATCTCACAATCTTGTTTTTACTTCCTTTACTGAGTAAGCCACTAAAGACACAATTACGTTGTACGGTTGCTGATGCTGCTCAGGTCTACACTCCGTGAAGTACAATTTCTGGAAGCCATGGACATTGGACTGGCGTAATCGTCGTATCCCCAGAGCTCCACCCAATGTTCGGCTACGAAAACTCGTGATACGCACTTTCATTGGTTCTTGCTGCACTCTTGTTAGTAGTGTGACGTAAGTTCTTCACTGATGGTTTGACGAGAGCTAGCACTGACCAGGATTACAGAAATCTGAGTGTTCTCATGGCTTTGAATGGGGAGGTGGCATGGCTGTGCTTGCTATGCTGCAACACCGATAGTAAGTGTTCGCGCGGCGCCTCACGTAGACAAGTCTGACCAAGGCCTGTTAGTATTTTTCTCGGCCCTGGTCATCAACTGGATTACATCACCTAGCCAGGAGTCGACCTTACGAACCCTGACACGACCATCGCGCGGCATATCCACACTAAGGGATGATGCCGTTACTATTCCGCTTGATCCCGACGGCAACAGCACGAGCACGAGAAAGAGTTGGGAGCAGAGGCGATCAAAAACGCCGACAACAATCGGCCTCGAAACAGCAGAAGCACTTGATGACGCCGATACAGAACTAGGCGAGCGCTGCGTGCGAGACGACGACGAAGCTGACGCAGATCAGGCATTTGAGAGGGAAGGGAGGCACTTGGGCGATGAAGACGATATTGAAATAAGTGCCGCCGAATTACGAGGTGCCCAGGCATGAGCAGCGAATTGGGCGTTGAGATCACGACGAAATTTACGAAAAGTTCACGTCCTGTCTTTGAATTAAAATACAGACAACTGGCAATGGGATAGAAGGAGTTGGGTACACGTACGAAGGCGGAATAAGAATCGGTGCCATTTCAATATGGTATCACGGGTACACTTTTGGCGTGACTTTGGCATATCGCCTTGTTATACGTACGAATTTTGATGGCGATCACATCAAAACCGAGAGACTTTTCAATATGGGATAGTCAAATTAATCTGATGAGGATATGATGCCAGAGTTTCCGGATGGCGACTCACACACATAATACTTCACAGGTCCCAATCAGTGGCAATATGATGACATCAGGACAAATTCGGCAAGCCGGGTACCAGAGACATCAGAAAGGCGGTGCTAAGTAGTTGGGGCATATGTGTAGATAATGGGAATCTGATAAGCAGGTTCTTCGTGAGTGATATTGCAACAGATGAACATCAACGCCTTGGAGATAGGAATAGTTTATCTCAAGTACATAGCCGGGTGTGTTGGGGTAGGCCCCCAGATGTAGGTTTGCATCACGATGACGAACATTGTGTTCCAACCGGAGCCAAGACGGGAATTGAAATTTCGATAACTCTATTTCCTTCTGCTGCACTTCAATCAGACGAATCGTAAGTCAGATACCGATGGCTACAATCTTGTTGGCATTCTCATTGGCCGTGCGCATTTGAATTCGTCCTTCTAAGTTGAGCTTCAACCTAGGTCAATGATGCGATACCTACTCTCCATCAACCCACTCAACGACTCTAGAATATCCCATGAACCGTCACCCGCAAAATTCGGCTTATTCTACCCCATCACGAACTCACCTTCTTCAGGGTCTCGCTTGTGCCGGAACCGTCACAGCAGGCACCCAGTTGTCTCTGTCAAGTGCCGAATTTGCACGCTTTCTGTGCCTCTACATAAAACAGCATGCTGCGTGTCAAAAATAGGTTTCAGTAAAGTAGTTATGACGAACCAGCGAAAGAGAGGATTGACACGAGTACGAGCAGGGTCTTGGTGAGTTGCATTTCAGACGGCCGATAGGTGGAATTACTACCCTTAGAGTTTGAAAGAATATTACGTCAAGCTTCTCGGGGTTTGCTGTGGTTCGATGTGCCAGGATCCTCGAAAGCTTAATGAGAACAGAAGTTATAGACCCGAGGAGAAATTGTCAGCAAAGGACGACTTGCGGGTTTCGTGACTTTATATCCGAACAACATCCATACGCGCTATGCGGAACATCTTCAAGGATTCTTGACCAGTCGAGTTCATCTGTCTCAGAAAATGTTTCGCGTGCGCTTCTCTCAATACTGCGATCAAACTCACAACAGTGCAGACGAGAGGTGCTTTGAAGCGCGTGGCTGTGACAATCAAACGCCGAAAGGTGAAGACTCCACGTGAGCTCCGATGTATCTCCATGTGGCCTTGAGCAATCCGCGCGGTAGCGAAGCAAATACCTGGGGTACCCAAAGTTTTCGCATTGCGTTCGGAGCTGTAGGCCGAACTACTCAGACGTCATGGTACGAACAAGGCAGGGTTTGCTAGCTGGTGACTAAGGTAATGGTATGGGATATATACCTGGTAGGGCAAGGCTGTCGGATTGGAAGTCCAATTCGACCTCGGCGTACGGCGGCCGCGCAGGGGCCAATTACGGCCCCTACTTACGATCATCGCGGCCTGCCCAACCTACGATTGGAACCTCCTTTTTACACCTACGCAGAAATTCATATAGTTCAATTGATCTCTTCGTCAACCCACGGTTCGAACCAATTACCCTGTAATAGGGATACCAACAAAGGCAAGAAATTGGCGTTCGAACAAGTAAAGTCATGAGAAGAGTAGATTACGATATTTCTTTGTAACATTTTGACAGCTGACTCATCTTTGCCTCTTTCTTTTAGTGACTGTACTGAGCCATGGGAATTGTATTTGTTGTATCCCCAGGAATCACATCACTCCGAGTCTGCAACATGTCTTATAGCGTGAGAACTTCCTTGAACCTCTCGGGGCATGTAAGTTAGACAGCTAAGAGAGAGTGGTCATGTGTTCTTTCACCTTGGCAACTAGCAGTTGGAACCGTCATTACCACGGAGCGTCTAACGCGCGTAGATGAGGCCGATGCTAATATTAACAAAAAGACTGGAATATAGTAAGAGTGAGAATAAGGTGACTGTTACCTTTCGGGCTAATGGCCTCCGTGGTGTCTTCTGTTGAGACAGAACCCGAAGCCATGGAGGGAAAATGTGTGCAAGTAGGTTTCGAGAGCGCAAGTGGACAAAGTCGCTTTTAACAAAAGTGTGAAATAACCAGATGAACGATTTCCAAACTATAGAAGAACTGAACAAATCTTAGAGGAAACACACTATCACTGCAACATTCAACTCTGTCAGATTCCAAGAGAGTTCATTGAGGAAACGTCGCGATCAAATGACCAGACCTCTGCTGAACTTGGTATTTTGATTGGATCGATAAGAAAGAATTACACCGATAGCCGGGGTTCCGAGGATCCATGTCACCCCAAGAAGACTTGGTATTAGCTGATGATCATCCCTTCTGGGCCCCTCATACAAAGTATATACTATGGAACCACTACAGTCGCAATTCCCTCGCCCAACTCCTCCTTGACATTCCTTACTTCCACAAACTCTGTGTGAAGAGATGTGCCACCGTCAGGCTTATCACGTCTGAAGAACCCAACCACTCTTCCACGCACAATGTGCCCGTTCATATTTCTTTCTTCAGTCTTGGGCTCCGTCCAGATATCCGCCACCCTCGTTTCGTTTGGCGGCAGAGGCGCGGAGGGTGAGACCGGGACCGTAGGTCGTCCGGCAGGGTTTAACGAAATGCCGTGTTCGAGCTCAATGACCCTCCGTGCCACGGCAACTAGCGTCGCCATCTCCCACAGATTCTCTCGCGGGAGCCCGAGGATGGGCATCAGCCGGAGTAATTCCAGCCGCGTCTCCAAATGACGACATGTTGTCGTAAAAAAGAACAACATTGGCGTGTACCCCGTTTCGAACATGAACTTGGACGTTTTGGCATGAACGCCTTCCATCTTCGAGTGTTCTGATATTTGAACGACCATTTCGGCGAGATTTTTTGCTAGTTGGCTGTAATTTGGCACGTACTTGTCGTAACCAGTCAAATTGTTAGTAAACGCCATATTCAGCCAAATACGGCAGCACTCGTATCGAGTGGAGAGGAAACCGCGCAGCATGTTCGGTACGTAGTCTGGTTTTTCCTCGAAAGCCTTAGTTGTGGGCGAGGACGTGTATTTGCTTTGGTTATTCAGCTGGGCGAAGAGAATGCTCCACCGGTCGAGCATACTATTGACGTATTCTTGCCGCGCTAGTAATTTCGGGGGAACGCCATTTCCCGTTGGCGACAGGGAACGAAAAGGATATCCTTGCTTCATGAGCTGGAGAGTTTGGCAGTAGAGATCGTCAATCATCAACTGGGCGTCTTGGAATGAGGAAAAGCTTGGGGGCATAGGATGTTCCAGTCCGCTCAGGTCCGGGAAGTCGGCCTTTTCGCCGCTGAAGAAGAATGAGTACTCTGTAAGGCGTCGGAAAAGTGGGAGAAGATGCTCCTTGGTCCAGGGGAACTCGCTGTGGGTATTTCGAAGGAGCGCGACCCCATGCTTGCAGTGCTTAATAGCGGCTTCGCGCCCAGACTGCAGAAATTCGATGCAGATGAACAGGAGGCAGACAAGCAGGACCGTGGGGTGCTTGTCCTGCGTCTTCATGCCAATCAGCTCTCTCATGGCCGCATTGTAGTGGCGCACAGCAAAGCTGTAGTCCCGCGGGGCAACGATCTCGTCAGTCCCGGTGTGGAACTGCTCATAGAGGTCGCTGATGGCTAGGATGGAGTGCGTTACCGCCGGCTCAAATGTGCTGAACTGCATGACTATGTGCGTCCAGAAGTAAGGATCCACGGCCCCTGAGAGGAGCGGCCCCACGGCTTCAGCAAAGTATTGCAGAGCGCGGTTGTCGCTTGGAGAACTGACTCCCGGAGAGGCGCGACTTGGCTGGACCGTCAGGACCACAGACGGATCCGAACCCGGGGAGCTGGATGAGACATCTGTCAAGTCGGCGACGTGTGGGTAGCCATCGCATTTGCGGCCAGTCGCGGTACAGCGCTTGCAGGATGGTCTGCTCTCATCGCACTTGATTTTACGTACTCTAGCGAGCGTTAGACGACGCACCAACTCATCTTGAAAACCTTACTCTCGGGCTCGTCTCCCGCGACCCAATCGGACGGCAATAGCTGGAACTTACTTGCAGGTTAAACATCCCGTCCTAACCTTTCGGCTACCTTTCCGAGCCATAGTTCCGCTAGAAACACAAGACAACCGGTACGAATATCCGTAAAGGCTCGAGCCAGCCTTGTTGTCAGTCTGTTGGTCTCAAGTCCGAACCAGCCACTGACGTGGTGCGCGTGCCGGTCAGGGGCAAATGACCGTTGGACGCCCTCGGTGAGCGGGCAGCCTGATGAGAAAGAACTTTGGGAGTCCGAGGGCGAGGTGCAGGAATGCGAGCGGAGACAGCCCAAGATAATATCTGTGCCCACCAACCTCGGAAGACAAATTGTGGGATACGCCAGGGCGAAACCGAACCCACCAATGTGAGCGTGAGATTCCCAAAGAATCCCTGCCGTAAGCATGGGGTAGGATTGAAAGCCCCGCCTGGGACGCGGTGTAGCTGATTGTCTAACCCAATTTGGGCCTAACCGTCTTCACAAACAGGCTGCAAACGTTTAGGCAACGATTCAAAAGAAAATTGTCTTGGTGTGACGGTTCATCGTCGAAGCATTGATGACGGGTGTAGCCGCAGCTTGCTCTAGCTCATCGGGAAGGTCATGGTGCTAATTGATTGGATCATTTGGTGGGAACACGCAGATTTATTCCTGACTTGTTGAGTGGATACAGGCATCGGGGTTTAGATCTTGTTTCGTTGGAGGGGCACTGCTTACCTTTGTCGTGATAATTGAGGGGAAATGTGAACGGTTGTGTAACAGTCTTTCGGAAGTGAGAGGTGGCATCACGATCCGACTAAATGAAGACTATGAAATCTGTTAACGAAATCTCTATAGCTCCATGTCAGCTACATGGCCCATAGAAATATCCCGCATAGTTGGTCTTCCATGCGTCGCTTCTCTCCATGCATCCGTCGATCTGACTCGACCTGCGTACGCCGCCAAGATTCCGGGTACCAGATCTTGCCTCCCGCAATCTTGAAGACGGGTAACTAGCGGGACCAAGTGAGCATCTAGGATAGTCGGGCCAACAGCTTGGCCGAAAAGCCATACGTCTCCCTCGTGATAAGTGTTGCTAATCTCACCAAAGACCTCCAATACTTTGGACTCTGCTAAGACTACTTGATCGGCTTCTAGCGCACTTTCCAGGTGTTTCTTGTGGCTGCACTGTTCGTTAGCTTTCTGATCACACATGCAAGTGCTGCAGATTGATTGCGCGAACTTACAATTCGGCTTTGAATTGCAATGCACTCCAGTAGTCCTCGGGGATTTTACCAACTGAGCTCAGTTGCTCGGCAGCAATATTGGGAACTCCGTATTCGCGGGCTTTCTTATCAGGTACAGAGAGTGTAACCGTTGGCACAGCCAGTAGGAGATTTCCAGAGAACTTGTCAATGGTCTGTCGAGACTTTCCCCTGTCAGAGTTGGAACCTCATAAGAGTTGTTATTGTCAGAACATTTGCTTCTGCTGGCGGTGCAAAGAAAGACTACAGCTAATCAGGCTGAGAAAGCGATGGGTTCCTCACTTGGCCCTTCGGATTGACTGTCAAAAGATAGTCTGCAGAGAGATTCTCATTTCGGTGTAGATTGACCAGCGCGAGTTGCATGTCCAACTTCAGCTTCCCCGAACCTCTGTGCCCAAATGCACACGTGAGTCTAGTCATGATGGAGTACAAAGAAAAGGGGAAAATATGAAGAGTAAAAGCTGATCGGTTATCAGCCACGGCCGCGGCTTCCTCAGTGGTCGACATCATGCTAGTAGGATGCGATTGGAGCAGATTTCCAACCTCCATTTGATGGATGGAGGATCAACAAGCCGTATATAGATGTCTGAGCATGCAACCTTCGGCAATTCTAAATCGGGCTGTAGGCAACTGTCTGACATGCATACTCTAAGCGGGGTAGCGATATCTCAACACCCGATGATTGGTGATGGGTGGCGGAATGCATCCAGACTTCACATCACTCCTTCTGGATCCGGGTTCGCGATGCGCTTTCCGAGTAGACGACAAATAACAAACAGATAGACACTGAGAAGGTTAAATGTATTTTGGTATTCAGCTTTCTAAACCTTGAGAGCCTATGTGATATTAGAGCCTGGTTCCAAGGGCCAGTTCACTCTCGGACTTGTGTGCCCGGGACCATCAGGTGTTTTAGCATCAATGGTCAATTCTTCCATTAGGGTTCAAAGTTGCCACAGGGACATAAATGAGGCAGAGTGTCCTGATTTTCATGGTTGATTCACAGAAGACACCTTAATCTCATACTTCCTGCTAACCCCTGACTGATTTGAAATGAATCACAATCTGAAGCCACGCCGTTGAACTGACAAAGAATCGAGAGAGGTGACGAGGAGTTTCTATCGGGGCCAAGCTCCAAGCAAGTTCGTTGGAACTAAGACACGCATCAACGGGGAGTAGGGACGGGTCCGCGCGCACCGGTTGTTGAGAACTAGACCACTTTAGTGTTTGCGCCCAGTAGGTGCCATCTTCACGCATTTGGAAAATTCGAAATTGTTGTGGTAGTGACGTCGACCATTTCAGGACGCCCATAAGAAAGCCAGACGAGGCGCAAAGTCACATCAAAACTTTACTCGACTACAGCTTCCAAAACCAACTTCACAACCCAATTCTGGCTGCCCGAATGGAAAAGCAGCATCACCAACGATGGCAGCATCAACAACGAACGAGATTAAGCCAGTCGGCTCGACTCCCGGCTCTGCATCGGCTTATGATAGCAATTCAATGACACCCCTCGCATACGATCTCGTCAATACGCCAGAGGGTATTTCTACCTTGGTCGACTATCTCAGCGGACTGCCCAATGACGCGGTCCCATCGCATTATGTTGATCTCGAAGGCGACAACCTCAGTAGGCATGGCATCATATCCATCCTCCAGCTATATGTGGCTCCGAAACAACACACATACCTCCTCGATATCCATGCTCTCGGTGACAAAGCTTTCTTGACTCCGGGCGAGAGATCAGGCAAAACAATCAAGGGGTTCTTGGAGGACCCCAACGTAAAGAAGGTCTTTTTCGATGTTAGAAACGACTCAGATGCTCTGTTCCACCACTTCAGGATTGATCTGGACGGGATACAAGATCTTCAGCTTATGGAGTTCGCCTCACGTTACAACAAGGCAGGATTTCTCAGCGGATTAGCAAAATGCATAGAGAGGAATGCCCCATTGACGCCCGAAGAAATCTTCGCCTGGAGAGCTGTCAAAGTGTTGGGACACAATCTGTTCAACCCACAGTCGGGCGGAAGTTATGCTGTCTTCAACCAGCGACCTTTATCTCCGGATATTCTTCGCTACTGCATCCAGGATGTCCAATACCTGCCTCGTCTCTGGGCTGTGTACTATCAAAAGCTGGGAAAGGATTGGAAGCACGCCGTGGAGAGGGAAACGAAGAACAGAATCCTGAAATCTCATGCATCTGACTATAATGGCCAGGGCAGGCATATGACGGAGCCACCTGCTGATTGGGTTGTGAGAAACCCAGAAATCACTGCCAATATTCACACTGAACCAACTACAATTACGAGATACACGTAGCATCGATTTCAGTGGAATGAATGGCGGGAATCATCGGCGGTAGAAAATTGTTTGATCGGCAATTATGAAAGTTCTCTCGTCATATTGCTGCATTGCATGCATTTGGAGTTGTATTTCAGGCAATGCGGTTGGAGGCCCCGTGCTAGACAGCCAGACATGCGAATCTTTGATGTGCTTGGGCATCTGGTTATCAGCCGGATGAGGTATGACGGAGAAGCGATAAATATTGAGAATGAAGAAGTCATGTTCTATTCAGCAACACCAAATTTACTGAGAGTCCGTAGCTTTGCTCCATATCTCCAGAGCAACAAAGGCGCTGGCACACCAATCACCACTGCAATGATGGCTAGCAAACTCCCACCTAGGCCATAGCCAAGATTCCTGAACAACGCCGGGACAAACAGTGGGAATGCGAATGCAAACATGGATCTCATGAAACAACAAGCCGCCGAGGCCGAAGCAGTGTGAAGAGCATAGCAATCGGCGATGTAAGCCGATATGCATTGGTATGATACCATGCTGCTGCCGATAGTGATGGCTATGCCCACCTACAGATGGGTAGTGTTAGTACGACAGACCAAATAGTGGTGGGGATCAGGTAGTATTTCTTACGTTGGGAAGCATGAAGTGCATCTTGTTTTGCGCAGTCCAGGCGAAAAGCATTATCCCACAGGGCGTAAGAAGAGAAGCGGGGACCATTAATGGAATGCGAAACTCCGGGACTCCCTTCCCATCCTTCTCAATACCTCGACGTCGTTTGAGTCTTTGATAAATCATGTCCATTGTTGGGGCGGAGATCAAAACACCGATCAATGCTCCGACGGCAATAGAGATGTAGTTCAGGCTCGCTTGCCCTTTGTGCATGCCATAGTAATGCTCCCACAGTTTCGGAAAGCTAGATATGATGAGATATAGCAGTCCAAAATTGAACGCCTGATAGAGCGCGAGGCTTTGTATAATGGGCTGAGTAGCGAGCATGATCCATGGGCGAGATAGGCTGGTCCTGAGGATGACAGCGAGTGTGCGCTCCTGCTTTTCCCACTCCGTTTTAATGGACGAATCATTATAGAGCTTACGCAGTCGCTTGGCCTTCAGGTGCAAAAGTCGTGGGGCATATGTCTCTTTGAGAAAGATCAAGGCGATGACTTGCACCGTGAAGTTCAAGATTACCACGGACCAAAAGGTCCATCGCCAGGTAGCGTATTGAGAGATATACCCACCCGCTGCACATTCAGAGATCATTAGATTTGCACTTGATGTAATTCAGTGGTATCTGGGTGATCAACGTACCAATAGGGCCGACTGCGAGTCCTAAAACGGGAGCGAATTGCATGAATGCAATTCCCTTCCCTCTCTCCTCTGGCTTCCAGCAGTCAGCTAGTACGCCACTGCCCATCTAACGAAGGTGTCAGCATGTTTAATAAACTTTCAGAACCAGAAAAACATACCCCTATAGTCGCACTGCCGCCTATTCCAGCAAGGAAACGAAAGGTCAGGATCTGCTCCTTTGATGCTGCAAACCCGCAAAGGGCAGTCGAGACAATGAAGATCAAATTCCCAACTCGTACAATAGGGGTTCGACCCCATATCTCCGAGCAAGGAGACAATACGAAAGGTCCTAGTGCGTATGTGAGGAGAAATATTGAGAGCACTAATTGCCGCTCCACCTCATTGGTGATGTGCAGGTCGTGGCTGATCGGTCCTAGAGCTGGGGCGGCTATCGATGAGGACAGGGGAGATAGGAACGCGAACGATGATATGATCAAAGATGTCTACGACTTCTGTGAGCTTGTGCTAAATATCTTGGGGTTTGCGAGAGTGATACTGACTGTCCATTTCTGTCTTCGGTTCCAGTTCTTGGGATTTTCTGAGTCTTCCGGCCCATCCCAAGTCACCTACAACAGCGTATTATCGTCAATCCAATGCAGCTAATGTGTATCGATCCACAGAGGCTTACAGATGAGTATGTAGAGATGCTTCCGTCACTGCTTTCGTGTAGTCTAGATTCCGATGTTGAGGGCGTGGCTTTGGCATCGCTGCCATGTTTCTTTATGGTTTCATCTTCGCACAAGGTCGTCAAAGAGTTGAAAGAGAAGAGAGTTGGTCCTAGGGCTTGTTCAGTATCCTCGTTGAAGTCTTGTCGAAGATTCATGGCAAAAGTAGCAAGGAACAGAAAAGTGCCATTAAAGATTGGGTGAGGGAGCACTGTCGAGATGATCTGGCCAAGACTTGTATCACCGAGATTAATCTGCCACCTGAGCACTCCAGACTCCTTATACTACCATGCCACTGACTTCCGTGGCTTGATGTTCACCACAGGTCATAGCATATTTACCATCTTTGACATGGATCAATAATACGGGCCGCAATCCGCAACTTCCCCAACCACATTTAGGGCTGAGCTAGACACTTGGGCGTATCTCAGCTCTATGGAGCCCTTCGTAAAGCTGCCCGTTCGGGCCTTTCGGAAGCTCTGGAGGTCAAGCCATCGCACAAAGAAGAAGCTCAGCGCAATGTTCCGTTCCCCGGAAAGACGGTGTAGGCCGAGCAGGGGAAGGACCTGCTTCTTCCCCAGACAACCTTTGAGCGCGCTACGATTCCAACTGGCGCGAACTATCTCACGCCACGGCCCGAATGGCTCAAAACAAAGGCCACAAGCGCAGTTCCCCGTGCTTTACCCCTGTCCTGGGCTCGGACCATGAATAATCGTATTGTTCAAATCTCGATGCCCAGTTTATGCCACGAAATTTATGGAACCCAAAAAGCTCGCTCAACACATTACATCGTCACCAGAGGTGAAAGAAAGGTCCATCCAGGATTCGAACCTGGGCTTACGGAAGGAACTGATTTTTGGATCAGAATCCGACGTCCTAACCAACTAGACTAATAGACCAATTATGATTGAGAACTGCTTCTCGCTGGGTTTCCCGCGCGGTTGCGACGTTCATGTTGCGTGTGGTTGGGGGCTGAAGCCCTCACTGTGGACACATCGTGAAGTGGATCTCGGAATCGTAGTAACCTCAGAGGTGCAAGGTGGGCATCTTAGCTCGAATTGTGGAATCCTTTTGAACATTCGACATCGAAAACTGGAATGAAAACCTCTACTAGATCAAAGGAGTTGGCATTGAGTCGTTCAGTTCCGAGTACCCGGGTTTAGTTGAACAGCAAATCCCAAGCAACGCCACAAAGCAGAAATAAGATGTCTCTCCGCATTGCAGAGGCGTTTAGCTGTCAGCTGTACTACCTACGCGCGTAGCGCTGAGCATAGAATTTCAGCTCGGCGCCACAATTCCAGGTTGACAGCAAATCTGAAAGAGGAATCCGGTCACGCGACGCAGCCGTGCTTTTCATGTCTGATGGTGTGCTCTGAAGATGGGAATAACATCATTTGTGTAGGGTCAATCAATGGACCCGACAGTTATGAAATCTGCACTGCCTTGCACAACGTCAGTGCAACTTCCGTCGACCATGCCTATTTGCTCCAGTACTAACAACAGAGTAAATCTGGCCGCATCCAAGCTCTGCATCTTAATCGATGCAACGTAGCAGAACAGTTACGCTCCTCGTCCGTCTTAGCTTACGGTAATGCTTTGTTACAGCGATGATCACGGTAGGTGCTTCAGGGAGCTCCGTGGGTCCTGAGCCATTGCCACAGGCTTGGGCTAGGTCAAGCATACATGAGAAGAGCGACTAACAAACAGAGGTGAAGTAACAACCCTCTTAAAATAATAACAACAGACGGAAACAGGTTTGTTATGTGGATTGTCCCTTCAGAAAGTAAGAGACATAACAACCATGGTACATGAGCATAATGAACATGCAGGTTTACAAGATCCACTGGGCGATTGGTTTAGTGGTATAATGACCGCTTAGCATGCGGTAGGTCCTGGGTTCGATTCCCAGATCGTCCATTGATTTTTGCAAATTCCATCATCTTTGCTGTCCCCGCCTGTTGGGTGACACTTTTTTTTTTTTTTTTTTTTTTGCCATTTTGAACATTCTCATCAAAAAGGAAGTGCGGTACGGCAGAAAGCATATTGGCAGATTTTTTGGGATGATTGGGTCACATCCGAAAGGTTAAATGCAGTGTGTGGGGTACACCAGCCGGATGTCGATCACCCTTCCACCCGCGCTTGGAGACATCTCGAAAGGGACGTGTTCTCATGATCCTCCGAGATTCAAGGAGCACGGTTCAGACTAAATCACTTTATTTTCTTATTTATAAACCAAGGTACTTTTGTTTAGCTTGCACGATCAGACTTCACCCGGACAGCCGCCGCTAAGTTAACCTCGAAAGCTTGGCGATCAACCAGATTCATTAATATGGTGCAATATCCCGGCTGGATGCTGCACCGTTCGAGCTTCTGGCGCTGCACCTCTGTCTACTATCGCGTCTCATCGTTGCAGCAACTTGATCTCGACATGGTCGGAACCATTGCTGCTTCCTAGCCTTTGCGGAGCTTAGTGATGTGTCCCGAGAATCTTTCCTTCGCGGCCCAGGCTGATGTCTCCGGTACCTTACTTTGCTTATATGATCAATTCGAGTTGCACTTGCACCTCTAGGTATTAATAACCTTCTCGTGAGGTGGGCTAGATAATGGACTCACGGCCGACCCAGACCCAGCCCACTCGAAAAAAAAAGCATGATCATGTTTCCCTCCCCAGCGAGCCTTTTTGTCTTTGTCTCTCTAGCATCCGCTCACAGCCGAGTGACAAATTTCGTAATCGACGGTGCATCCTACCAAGGCTTCAACACACGATCCTCGAACCCCGACATCCTCGCGGCATGGAGCACGACAGTCAAGAATGACGGTTGGATCAGCACCGAGAGCTACGGTAAATCTGACATCGTTTGCCATATCAATGCGACCAACGCTCAGGGCCATGCACCCATTGCTGCTGGTGACACCATTGACTTTCAATGGCAAGGTTGGCCCGAGTCACATCATGGTCCCGTCATCACGTACCTTGCTTTCTGCGGCATTGACAGAGGGTCCTGCGAGTCCATCGACAAGGTGAAGTTGAGCTTTTTTGCGATCGACAAGGTCGGACTGGTTGATCCGAGTGCCAATGCCACGAGTTTTGCGACGGCGTGGGGAATCTGGGCGAGCGACATCCTCATCAGCAATAATGCGACCTGGGCGGTGCAGATTCCGCCGAAGATCCAACCTGGTTACTATGTGCTTCGACATGAGATCATTGCACTCCATTTTGCTAGGTATCCAGGGCAGGGCGCGCAGCACTATCCCCAGTGTATCAACATTGAAGTTACTGGCGGCGGGAGCGACGAACCCGCTGGGACGTCGGCCGTGGATTTGTATCAAGCGGCGGAGGATGGGTTGATCTACGACATCTCCCAATCGCCTACAGGGACGTACAAGATCCCGGGGCCGACGATGTACACTGGCGCAACGGCTTTCGTCTCTCAGACTGGGGTGGTGGTCCGTTCATCGACAACTGCGATACCCGGCCGACCGATCGCAACTCAGAGTTGAAGAAATCGAGCACAGGAATCGTCGCTAGATCGGAGGCGTGACTGACTGATGAGTACTTAAAAAGCTCGTTCTTCTGTCGTTCTGGGTAGAAATGGGGCCGGTGGAGACGCGCAGGCTGGATGCTGTCGGTGTGTCACAATAGGGCGGTAGCTAGCCCATGACATGTTGGGTAGAGTTTGACACAAAATGACACAGGTCGTCCAGTTTCTTTATCCTAGATCCATATATACTGTCGTGAAGGGCGTTCAAGGCGTAGAAATATGCCAAGGGATGGATGTAAATGACGGCTAACCGACTAGACAACCATCGCTGCTGATTGTTTCCATCCATAGCTGACGCTGCGCCGGTGCGGTACCCCCGGTTTCGGGCGCATTTGCCGGAGACAAGGTCCGGGGCCAACGCCTTTGCCTATCGCTCTTCACTCTCCTACTTCAACCCAATTGCGTCTGCCATTTGCAATTCACTGAGACCCATTGGCTCCCTCGAACAAGTTATCTCGTTACTCTTGTCTTGAATCTCGTAACAGCAGTCATTCTCACCATGATTGCCCGCCTGAGGCCAGTAATCATGCCCATTCCCCGCCGGGTGAGGTCACTCTCAACCGCGCGGGGTTCCTTATCTGGACTCAAGATCAACACCGACCGCCTTCAAGAGTCAATTCATCATACATGCCAATGGGGTGCAGCGCATCGATATGGAAAGTGAGTTTTCTTATTTCCAACTCCTTTCAACAATCCAGTCGGTCTCAACGCTTACCATCATAACGGCAGGGGTGCGACAGAGACAGGCATGGCCAGACTGGCGCTGTCTGACGACGATGCTCGCGTGAGAAAATGGTTCTCCGATGAGGTAGCAAACCTTGACTGTGAACTTGCAATCGATGAGATGGGAAACATGTTTGCGAAACGTCAAGGAGCGCTCAAATCTTCCGCTCCGATGACAGCCATGGGGAGCCATCTTGATACCCAACCCCGCGGGGGCAGATACGACGGCATTCTGGGCGTTCTAGCCGCCGTAGAGGTGATGAGAACACTAAAAGACAACAACTTCAAGACGCAATTCGATGTTGGCATCGTCAATTGGACCAAGTAAGTGTAACAATCACCTCGAAAAAAGCCGCATAAAGTCTGACGAAAACCAGCGAAGAAGGCGCCCGTTTCCCGAGATCAATGATGTCCTCCGGCGTCTGGGCAGGTGAAATCCCGCGGGAAAAGGCCTGGGACTTGGGCGATATCTTCGACCCGTCTGTAACCGTCAAGTCTGAGCTGGAGCGACACGGCTACATCGGTCAGCTCGCCTGTTCAAGCGACGCATCAACTGGTTACCCTCTGGGCGCGCACTTTGAGTTGCACATCGAGCAGGGCCCCATCCTCGAGGAGAACGGCAGGAAGATCGGCGTCGTGCAGGGCGCGCAGGCGTATCGCTGGTTCACCTTCACCATCACGGGCCGCGACGCACACACGGGCACCACGCCGTTGAAGTCCCGCAGAGACCCGTTGCTCGCAGCGTCCAAGATGATTGCTTCCTCCAACGCCATCGCAAAGGAGCTCGGGGCGCTGGCGTCGACAGGTGTTCTCAAGATCCCTCCCAGCTCGTCGACCAACACCATCGTCTCGGAGGTTACCTTCACCCTTGATATTCGCCACCCCGAAAACGCAGTTGTCGAAGAGGTGCAGAGGCGTTGCATCGAGTCGTTTGAGAAGATCGCTGGGGAGGATGGCCGCGGGGTCGAGGTGCAGTGGACGCTCGATACCGATTCGCCCGCGGTCAAGTTTGACAAGGAGTGCATCCAAGCCGTGGAGAATGCAGCGATTGGTCTTTTTGGGCCGGACGGCTGGCTGCCGTTGACCAGCGGCGCGGGGCATGACAGCGTTTACACGAGCAAGCGGTGCCCAACGACAATGATTTTCGTCCCTTGCAAGGACGGTGTGAGCCATCACCCCGAGGAATATTGCAGTCCGGAAGATTGGTCAGTGGATGCGCCCTTGGTGTCGTGAGAAGTGTGAGCTAACTTTGCTGCAGTGCGAATGGCACCCAAGCCCTGCTTGAAGCCGTTGTAAGCTACGACCATCTAAGAGCTAGCAGAAAGTGAAGTTGTATGAGAGGTCTTGAGAAGGAGTAATTGACAGAAAGCCATTGGAATCATCTTTTTGACAGAGAGATGTCATTTCGCTCATGCAAACGAATGTTTTTCATGGAGAGTATGGTTGAGGTGAGCGTCTGTGAATGAGCACTCAGTGAGTGAGTAAATCCGAGCACATGCCTTCACTCCTGCATCGAACTCAGCGCATGAATGTCCTGGACTGGTCTGAAAAATTGCCAACAGGCTTTATTTGTAAGAAAGCTTTAATTTATCAGCACGCCCTTCATGTTGATTGTCATTATCGCGCCTTTGCGACGCGACGATCTCACTCCAGGCCAACCAGGCTCATCCATGATGTCAGACCCCCAGAGACCATCAGTGAGTGAGTTTGGGACTTTGGTGCTTTTAGCGCTGTGGAAACAACCGTGCTGGACCTCGGAGACCCCTCACGCTCACTCCGGATGCAACAAGACAACCATACATATCTTAGGGGCACCGAAACAGCGAACGTGGATTAGTAAGACTGTAGCAAGTCACGACCACCCAATTGTGACGCCATATGCACATCCGAATCGTCCAAATAAGGGCGTGTTTGTTGACCATCGGGATAAAACATCGTCGATGAACTAGCCTGTCCAGCCTCATCGAAGCAGCCAAGGAAGCAATTGAAGAAGGCATATCTTCAGACACCATCTACAGTTGGCAATAATTCACGCCGCAATTCCGAGTAGAAGCTTCACAGGTGCAAAACACAAAACTACATCATGGCATCCGGAATCAAGCCGTACAAGATCGAGGTTCCACAATCAAAGATCGAGGAGCTCCACGCCAAGCTCGATCTCGCAAAGTTCCCGCCAGAGTCTGCGCTCACCGAAAGCTGGGACTATGGCGCCCCGGTCTCAGAAGTGAAGAGGTTGGCCGAGCGCTGGCGCAACGGCTTCGATTGGCGCGCTGCAGAGGCCAAGCTGAATGAGTTGCCGCAATTCACGACAACCATCTCAGTGGATGGCTTCGGCGACCTCGAGATTCACTTCATCCACCAGAAGAGCAAGCAACCTGGAGCTGTGCCGCTGCTATTCTCTCACGGCTGTATGTTTCACCTCGCCCACTCTTCACACGTATGTCGCCCATGACTGACTTGAGATCAGGGCCTGGTAGCTTCCTTGAGGTCCTCAAGATTCTCCCGCTGTTGACGACGGAGAAGAATGGTCTTTCTTTCGATGTTGTGGCACCGTCTCTTCCTAACTTTGGGTTCTCGGAAGGTCCGGACAAACCAGGCTTCCGCCTACCTCAGTACGCCGAGGTCATGCACAAGGTGATGCTGAAGCTCGGTTACGAGCAGTATGGTAAGTGTGCATGCTTGAACAGCTATCGGACCACGAGCTAAGAATCATGCAGTCACTCAAGGAGGCGATTGGGGCTTTGGAATCACCCGGTTCATGGGCCTACTTTACCCAGACCACGTCCTCGCATCCCACATTAACATGGTCTCCGCGAGCCCACCGTCCTTCTTCAAGAACCCGCTACAGTACATCAAAAATCTCTTCCCTTACTCTGAGAAGGAGAAGAAAGGCATTGAGCGAAGCCAGTGGTTCCAGAGAGAGGGTCGCGGTTACAACCTTGAGCAGAGCACCAAGCCGGCGACCTTGGGCCTCGCGTGGGCCGACTCGCCCGTGGCGTTACTATCCTGGATTCTTGAGAAGCTGCATGACTGGACTGATTCATATCCATGGACCGATGACGAGCTTCTGACTTGGATTTCCATCTACCAGTTCTCGACGGCTGGGCCCGAGGCCAGCGCGCGGATTTACTACGAGGTTGCGCACCCTAAGCCGCACACGGAGCACATTGCGTGGGTTCCGCGGGTGAAGCTTGGGTTGTCTATCTTCCCCATGGACCTAATTGTTCCGCCGATGAGCCATGCCAGGACGCTGGGTCCCGTTGTATTTGCTGTCACGCATGGTGATGGTGGGCATTTCGCTGCTCATGAGAGGCCTGAGATATTGGTCAAGGATTTGAGGGAAATGTTCAGCAAGGGTGGTGGTGCGCACGATGTTGCAGAAGTGCTGTCGAAACAAAGTCTTCGATCAAAGTTGTAAATTAGTTTGGCAAAGTCGCTATGACTTTTACTTCTGGAATTAAATTCAAACTCTTGATCTCATCTTCTTTCTAGGATGACCAGTTATCAACCCTATGAAAAACCAGCCTCGTAAGGTTTTCCGTCCCTTGTGCCCATTAATTAATTATATTTTTCAAACGCCAGATAAGAAGAATGTGCCATGCTGGCAACACATAATCAACGTTTATACATGGAGGATATTGTCATCAGACTTCATGACGATGGGGTACTAAGCTGTGAGGTAGCCCATGGTTTCCCGAGTTAGCCGCAGCTAAATCTTTCGGGTCTGCTGGTAGATCCTGGCCAGGGTTGGCCTCTTCATAGTGAGCCCATTTTACAAATCGGTAATACGCAGCTGCAAGAGCGGCTCCCATGCATGGCCCAAGCCAGTAGATCCAGTGATAGTTTGGGAACGACCTGCCTGCAACGGCGCACCCAAAGCTGCGGGCGGGGTTGAGGGAGCCACCAGTGACCCAGACACCTATTCGATTATCAGAAACTCGTCTGGTGAGATTGAAGTAGAAAGTCTTCTTACCTGGAATGAGAATCATGAATAAAGCCAGCCCGACACCGATTGGTGCGAGGAAGGTATCGCGAGACTTCTCCACGGCCAACATGAAAACAACGATGACGAGCTGTGCCGTAAAGAACATCTCAAGAAAGAGTCCCTGGGCAACAGATGTCCCAATGCCAAGCAGCGAGTTTGCCTGCGAAACTTGGCCCGGAAACATGGCTTCGACCAGTCCACCGGCGCACATCGCGGCCAGCAGCTGAGCCGGCACGAGGAAAGCGGACCGCATCCACGGCAATTGACCGCCGAGAGAAAGGCCCAGAGTGACCTAGTCTCGTTCATCAGCATGCGGCTCAACTAGTGTGACAGGATATGGTTATGTGCCCGTGAAAATATATGCACTTACCGCAGGATTGAAGAGGCCTCCGCTGATGCGGTAAAAAGTCCAAACATTGACCAGCAGAGAGAGACCGTAAGATAGAGCTATGAAGACTACGCCCTCGCTGCTCAGCGTGCCATCGCCGGCCGAGGAAGCCCCCTGCTTGATCACCATGATGTTGCCGGCGTACGCAAAGTACAGGAAGAAAAAAGTGCCGACGAACTCGCCCGAGGCGGCAACGAGGTGGCCTCCCATAGCGCTGAGATGTGTTTGAGGGATTTCGTGGTGCTGCCCGTTGGCATGATCATGGTGGCGGTCCTGGGGTTTCGACATCTTTAAACTCTCCTCTCTCTATCTCCCTTCTGTTTCTGTTTTCCTCTGGCCTCTGAATCAGTTGCTTGCGTCGATGCTGGTAGCGCTATCACTATCAAGGGACATGGGTGGAAGGGAGAAACATCCGAGTGCAAGGGAGGGGACCCTTTTGAACATGTATGATGGCGACATTGTACCTACTTTAGGCATGGGGGAATAACAGCCATAGGGGGTAAACACAAAGGAATATCACAAAACGCCGTGCCAAAAATTCTCCGTTGGGGGTTTAGATCAACGGGTGTGGCTTGGAAAGTGGTTAACTGCAAGCAGCTCTAATGACTCTTCGTGATGCGGTGCGCACGTCAGTGGTACCCCCATGGTGAGACATTTAGCCTGGCGCCCCCAATCATAGGTGCATTCGTTGAAGCTGCCGTAAGCCGCAGACGTGCTGGAATCTCTTAATCTGCCGCGCCGCCGTTCCCTTTCCAGACTCGATACGATGACAAGCGACCAGGCCGCGCGCCCGCCTCCATTACCCCATCATCGCGCGTTTGATTTGTTGACAAAGACTGAAATTCCTAAGTCTCACGCCTCGGTCGTCGCTCTTATTCTGCGTGGCTCTCTCCTCGTCTGGGACATTCCCCACGCCATCCACTTACGTGTGCTCCAGAATCCTCCATCTCAAGAAATCCGAAATAGAAAGTCTAGCGTCCGTCCGTCAATTTTGTTAGTGGCTTGAACTAGGAGTCCCGAAAGCCTCCGTGCCGTCAACCGGTCAACGGAAACAAGCAGTAGGCAGAGAGGTTCGCGAAATTGTTTTGATGTTCAACAGAGGATTGCGTTTGTGCTTGTACCTGTTGGACAAACTCTCATTTACATCATGTTGGTGCGACACGGTTCAAATTGCCTTGTGCAAGTAAGATTCATCATTGAAGTTGATGCTGTTTGTGCCGGTTAACAACATCGTATCACTTTGAAATGTCACGCCGAATACGAGATAGTCAAGATTCAAATATGCACTAGGAAGGCAGTTGCCGAAGTGCTGTGGGCCGTTCGTAAGTCACTCACTCTCTTGTTTGCGTCATAGAGAACATGAGTACGGAAGAGATAACTTCCGTTATCAAATAGCGCTAGCAATTTAGTGAATAGCAATGTTTGCTCAGTTCCCAAATAGATGGTATGGGATCTCCAGTCGCTTTTTCCAATAAACATATTCATTGCTAGATGTAGATAGGAAGCGCTACCCGGGTCTAGGAAATTATCGCAAGTCTTTAACACTAAATACCTTACGAATATTATTCATTGTGTAATGCTTAAGGGTGTGGCTCAAAGATACCGAAACATGCAGCAGTCCACAAGTACGACCGTTGTAGCAAGTGCGACTTTCATTTGGTGTCCTATGTCATACATCCGGGGAAATCATGTTGTTGTCGCGTAATTGTCCTTTTCGGTTCTGTTTTGGGGGCGACATCGATGAGTTCGAAAATAGACTCAAGCATGCCCTTGGTCCGCTCGAAACACCAGGGCAGAGTGAAAAGATGAGCTTACGTCAAAGTGCCGACAAAGAGTTCGATCAAGCTGTAGCTTGCAGCTGATAGACCGGTAGTCTTTATTTGGTGCCAGCCAGATTCCAGCCCACTAAAATCGTAAAAGAGATGGCAGGAACCGTTTACATATACTTAGTATCA